GAGAAAATCCATAGCTGTTGGATCCCTATCCATCATTCTATCTTGAATATTACAAAAGGGGGATATACTATCAATCTTACACACCCCTCTACTGTCATTATTCTGTGTCAAAACTCTGGTATTGACTTTTAAGAGTTGGGAGGAGCAGCTCCACCCCTTGAAGCCCATTTCTAAGAAAAACATTAGGATTTATAGGTGACATACAGCTTTTGGGCGAGGCGAAAGTTCCTCCCAACCTTCCTCCTCTGCCTCTAGGCCTCGGCCCCCTTCTACTATGGCTTCTATAGTTGAGCAATTGGAGAGGCTAAAGGATGATGCCTCCATTATACAGGAGGAGATGTATGATTTGTCAGACAGGATTGCGTATATAGATTGGCACAATAAAAATCAATTTGATCAAATTGCCAGTTTTGAGGCTGCCCAATTGGAAATATACAGGAGAAACCGATGGTTAGGAGATGAGGATCCAATTATTTTTCCTGCTCGTTCTCCATATGTTCCTTATGAGAACACTCATCAGCCTATGGAAGAGGATCAGGAGGTCAAAGAGGAAGAAAAAGAACATGATGATGAAGGATATGATGAAGAGGGGGATGAGTGATATGGTCGTTCTCTTAGGGATCTTTTATTGCTTTGAGCTTTGGGTGCTGCTGACTATTCTATTTTGTTGGACTGCAGCTAATTTTCCTTCTGCTTGTTTCATTTTAGTTTCTATTGATGTTAGTTTATGTTCTTGTTGTAATATGTTATTGTTGCAATATGTTATATTGAATTGTGGTGGAACTTTTATTTTTGTATATTTCTAGTTGGATGTTAAGTGTTGTAATTAATTAGAACTCTGTTATGTATTTTCAATTGTTTTACCGACGCAAATTTTATATGTATTGCTGATGTTTTTTTATTTATATTCATTTCTTGTGAAATATTAATTTGTACAGGTGACATAGGTGTTTTTGTTGTAATTGTTGTATGTTTCACATTATGTTTTATTTTTGTGGTTTCATGTGATTAAGTTTGGGGGGATGAATGTTGTTAGAATTTGTTCCTCTTTAAACAAAATACTATGATTTGATACTTATTGATATATTTAGAATGGAATGCATATGGGACCACAATAATCTTAACAGAAAAATGAACTTACTAATATAACAAATAGACTCCTATTGAATTAAACTGAACGTGATGCAATAATCTTTTGAAAATTCAACAAATAATTATTTAATCATCATATTTAATTTTGAAATACCATTTAAATAAAAGGTAAGTTAATTGTAGACAAATGTGATCTTCTTGAAAAATTTAGCCTCAATTTTATTTGAATTTAATGTTAATAATTTATAACTTAAGTTTTGAATTAAAAGAGGGGATGTTGGAGTATTTCAATTTAAGGAAATTGTAGTAAAATTTAAAATCATTAAAGACAAATTCAGATATAGTCATCCTCTAGGATGTGAATGAAAAAAATATTATTTAAAAAGAAGTGGGATTGAAAATATTCATCCCAATGGAAAGAAAAGAAAAAGAAAAAAATTATAAATGAAAAATATCGAGGAGAAGCCTTAATAAAAAATGGTTTTACTGCTATTCTTTTAAATTGAAAACTATTCTTTTAATTAATTTTGTTTATATGTTTATAAATTATTAATAAATTATCTTATGGAAGACTAAATTCTCTTGAATTTTACATCTAGACTATATTAGCTTAGCAAGTTATTAAATCCCTTGGAGTGAACATGCAATTGAATAACATTTGAAGAAATTCAAAGTTGTATAAAGCATATGTGCGAGAATAATTCAATAGAAGCCCTTCATTATAAACTCTATCTATTTGGAACTTTGATTGTAAGTGGTCACTTGTTTAATTTCATTTCACTTATGTTCAACAAGACCAAAAACTTATGTTTTGTTGTTACTTGGAAACAAGTAACACTTAAGTTTGAGGGATTTTGATGTATTGTTAATTTTGCACTTGTTGTTATATGTATTTTTGAATTTTATATGGTGATGTTGCACTTTAAGGAAGATTTTTGTTGTTTTATGTTGATGGTAGCAAAAAAGGAGAAGAAGAAGAACCGAATTGGATCAGAATGGAGATTGAAGCAAGAACCTGACTATTCGGCGCTTAGGCGCCTGGCCACTGACACTTTAGTTGTTAGCCAAGAGGTTGATGCTTAAGCGCAAGAACCCGTCAATGGACGCTTAGGCGCCCAATACAAGCTCCTACTTAAGAGGGCGGTGCCACTAGACGCCTAGGCGCTCTTACCTGAAACTGACAGTTAGTGCAATTAGGACATGAGAAGAATGTGAAGAAATATATAAGCTTTGACGTCTAAGTAAAGAGGGCTCTTCGATTACATTTTCTTCTGTCATTTTTCTGAGAAGGAAATTGAAGGAGAAGTCCAACGAAGATCAATCAAGTTGAGAGAAGTGAGAATTTGAGAGATTTTGTGTGATTGAATGCTTGTAATTTCAACTTCTCAGGATTGAAGGAAGGGAGATAAGTTCTGAAGTTTTATCTTGTAATTATTTTTATCTTCTTTGTAAGACTTTTGTATTGTTATTTCTCTTTCAATCAATTATTCAAGTTGGTGTATTCAAACATGCATAGTGAGTAAACCATCCCTTCTTCCTTGGAAGGGGGAGATAGGAAAGATAAATGTGGAAGTTTCTTTATAGATTTGTGTTAATGTATGATGATTAACTTGTTGCACTTCATTTACATTTTAGTTTGGCCAAATGGAGTGTTAATATTTGTGGTGAGTTACCAATCTTGGAAGAGATGATAATAAAATCAATAGAGTTAATCACATTAATTTGGTGGAATAGAAATATATTTACTAAATTATGCAAACTTATAGGGAGATATTTGAGCATGGGTTAAAGGTTGGTATTAAAGAACTAATCTGATTTTTAGTCATTTTTTCTCATTCTACCGGAAGAGGGTTAGGAAAGTTTTTGCTTCTGTTTGTCATCTATATATTCATTTAACTTCCTCATTCATTGACTTATTGAACCACTCCAAAGGAGATCTTCTCAAATACTTGAACTCTTTGCTTTCTTTGTTGAAAACTTAAAATTTTCTTTTAGGACTTAAATTAAATCAACATTTCAAGCTAGACATTTATAGGCTAGAAATTTTCTTAATTAGATTCATCTCGTTCCCTATGAGATCGAAAACCAGACCTAATCTCAATACTACTGATATGCCACATATACTTGCGTGAGTCGCCCATATTTTGCAGCACCAGGTGCGTGTCACTCAATCAAGTATATAATTGAAATTATGATCGAGTGAAGCATCACACTCAAGCTCGATCATATATGAATATATCAATCAAGCAGATAAGTGAGAGCATAAAGTCTATCAATATAGGTTTGATGTTTGTCGGTATCTTGATGAGATCCAACAGAAGATTGATCAAAGTGATTTGGCCTAGAATAATTATCATATCGATCATGAACATGTTGACGATTATCATGATACAATTTGCCATAATAACATAATCCAATAAGAGATTATGCATTATTCTCAAGATAAAATCAATCATGGTCACTATATTGATGTAATAGTTTGACCTATAATAATCACAATATGAACCATATATTTTGTCCCGCTAATGTTTTGAAAGCTTGGAATCATAAGCATTATAATTGGAATATGAGGATAACAATTTTTTATGGACTATCAGAGATAATTTTCATGGAGGGAAAGCTCATGTCAATGTCAAAGGCAACGTTAATCATAAGCATCATGATAACAACAATGGCCTATGGCAAGTAGAGGACATTTAGGAAGGTTAGCACTTGATTTAAAATAAAAAAGTCCTAAAGAGAAAGCATATAAAAGAATAAGGAGGGGTTGGTTAGGGTTTTGTGGGAGGGAATATGTGGCTTGAATGTGGAAGGATAACTCAACTGTCATATTACAACAAAATTTATAGTGTATCTCATTAAAAACGAGTAAAGCATTGAACATAAGAGTTCTAAATAATCAACTTACGAAAATAAACAGCCATAAATTTTATAATTCTAACAAGAGATGAGAAACATAATCCAAAATTATAAAAAAATGGATTAGGAAAGCCAAGATAAAGATAGACTTGAACCATCTATGAGTGAGAAAATCTGGACTATATGTTAGAATTAGCTGAAGTTCAAAACATTGAGGTTATAAAGCATCAAAAGACAAAGCAGATGAAACCAAAAAACAAGATATTGCAATATAAAATATGAGTGAAAATTTTGAAAGGTTGGAGGGTTCAGGATGGACAAGGTGTGTCCGAAAAAACCTAATTAATGGAAATGTGGATTCTAAAACCTTAGCACAAATCTAATGTAGGAATGTTAAGCTCTGATATCAAATGACGTACAGGGATGCAACAAACTAATTCTAATGATGATTCTAACTCTAGAGAATAGGTAAGCAACCCAAGTTAGAGAGGAGCGGGGACTATAAGATGCATGAAATGAGGATGAGAGTGA